ACACACACACACACACACACACACACACACACACACACACACACACACACACACACACACACACACACACACACACACACACACACACACACACACCCACCTGCAGTTTGGTGGTGGATCCAATGTAATGTCAGCCAACTCCTTCTGGATTCTGCAAAAATAAAACGCATGCATTAAATGCTAAACTCTTAACAAATGCTGTGAATGAAATATGGGAAAAGGATGCTTTGCAACAAATGTACTGAATGTTAAAGAAAATAAAACGTTTTGCTTCTCTGTGATCTAGTACGAAACACGCCTACAAATGCTCACTACATGTCTCCATACTAAAATGAACAAAAAGCTCTTTATTTTTCTCACACTGCCTGTGCTGTAGCCTTTGCAGACTGTTTACATGCACACAAACCTATTTAACAAAATACAGGAAAGGGAAACCCCCCAAAATCAGAATGGGGCCTCTTTAAAAAACCCTAAAAGGCTGAAAATCAAGCCTGGAAATAAGTGGCAGAATATCAAAACGTGTGCTCCTCCTGAAAAACAGCCCACCTCTTGGCACTGGTGCAGAGGAGTTTGGAGGACTTGTTCATGCTGGCTTTGCTTTCTCGTTTCTTCGGTGTGTTTGAGTCCTGATGATGTGTTGACGATGAAGAGGAGGAAGAGTTGGTGCTGGAACGCGAATCTTCATCCGACATAACGAGCCTGGGGAACAAGCACAAACAAGAGATGTAGAAAAAGACAAACCACCTTTACCCCAAACCCCATTAAAAAAACCTGGCATCTCACTTTAAAGCCCTGCTTAAGGGGGAATGATTAAAGCTTGACCAACACTTGAGGTGAAGTGGCACTCAAGAATTTCAGCATGTCTCCAATACAATAATACTTCAATTAAAATGTACTTTTACCATCTTTCTGGACTAAAAGGCAGGGTGTGTTAAATAAATTGTTGTTTTGAAACATGAACCTGTAATGCTGAGGTTAACAGAGGACCCTTAAAAGTCTCCTCCAACATAATATCACACTACTTCTACATGATACACTTATTCTTTTAAATACTGTAACTGTACTTATTGTTGTCCACCTAGATGGGTGTTTTGTAAATTGTGTAATTTCTGTCTCTAATATATTATTCATTCCTCTTATTCAATATTTTGCCTCTTTACTTTCGCTTTATATTTCCCCTCAGTGTGACTGATAAAGGTATTCTGAAAACGTTTAAAATGTAGGTTTTCTTTTTTACTAAATGACATTTAGATTGTATTAAAAAGGTATACCTGTAATGCCGAATTTAACAGAAGGTCCTTACAAGTCTTCTCCAATCTTTATTTAGTTGTATTACCTAAACACAGCCGCAAATAAGGGCAAACACTTTTACATCTAATATTTTTTGAATGGAATCTGGCACGTTGTTTTCCACACACGTAAATAGAACCTCTCGCGCCAATAGAACGATACCAAGAATCAGAAGCTCCGTTGAGTTTTACGTTAATTTAACACAAATACCTCGATTTAAGGTTGACCCGAGTTAATTTGACAGATTAATTTAAACGTGACACATTATGAATGCTAATGAGGAATTTATCGGCCGTGCTGTTTTTCTCTGTTTGCACTCTGCGGTTATTTTTTAACCTGCCACAAAGGGAAATAATATGATGATTAGTTGGGCTACAGGCCTACTTCTGAAAGACACCACAGACCACACACACACACAGACACACAACAGGAGGCTGTGTATGGAGTCAAATAGGTCGGGCATGGAAACATGCATCGATGTCGCAGCGTGCACACTTTACACCTTTTAAAGAAACTTTTACCTGCAGAAATCTAAATGCTACTGCAGCCCTGACAGCCTGTTTCTAACCCTTTAAACCCAAAACACACAGACACCACACCGTGCACTTAAAGGGTTTCCTCTCCTTGCATTTTTAAAAAGCTATATCGTCGACATGCAGCTGATCTCAGAGTCACAGGATGCACCGACTCTTAAATCCTCATTTTAAAGGCAACCCGGAAACGTGTGGACCCCCAGAATCCTGCAGAAAACACACATTACATCCAACGCTAACAATATGCTACCCTGCGATACAAATGGTTAGTATTTTATACCTTTCTTTGTGTGTGCACAGCTTATGTGTGTGTGTCTCCGACGCCTGAACGCACGAGTGTCAAAGCGCCAACGGTGGACAGAAAACACACTTCCGGTCATCGTTTCAGAAAATAAAAGCATACGGAAACTGAGAAGGTATTAATGATATATTGATAAGATAAGATCAAGTTTATTAGTGCATGCAAGAAAATAAAAGGGCACCAAAAGAAACATAAGGTATAATAACAGCTTAAAATGGACCTATTATGCTATATTGGAAAAATATATTGTAGGGCCATACCGGGGGAGCTCCATGGGACCTTATTTTGAAAAAATTATGTATTGAAGTCAATGGAGAGAGAAAGATTATCTTTCGATCCCGTTTGAATTGTGCCACGAATTACACATATGATGTTTGTCAATTTAAAAGATAATTTTGCCAGTCAAAAAAAAAAA